AATTATCCGACGCATACTCTAGAACTTGCGGTGATTATCTTTGCACTGAAGATGTGGAGACATTATCTTTACGGAGAAAAGTTTGAAATTTATACGGATCGTAAAAGTTTGAAGCATTTGTTCTCTCAAAAGGAATTGAATATGAAACAGAGACAATGGATAGAATTGTTCAAGGATTATGATTGGGAGATTTTATACCATCCAGGAAAAGCAAACAAAGTAGCGGATGCTCTTAGTCGAAAGTCCGCCTTGACAGTAGCAAGTTCGTCTCGACAGTAGCAAGTTTAATGGTTAAGGAGTGGTGTTGACTCGAGCAGGTTTCTGGATCGGAATTTAAGCTCGAAGTAGAGAATCTTTCAAGTGTATTAGCTACGGTCAAAATTGAACTTGAAGTTATACAAAGAATAACGATATTACAACAAACAGATCCTGGAATCTCGAAGATACGAGAAGAGGTAGCGAAAGGAAGGAAAATGGATTTTCAAGTGACGGATGAAGGCAACATAAGATTCCGTGGATGTCTATGTGTGCCTGACAATGATGAGTTAAAAAGGGAAATTTTGACGGAAGTTTATCGGAGTAATTATAGTATTCACCCCGAAAACACGAAAATGTATCATAATCTTCGTCAACTTTATCGGTGGAGTGGAATGAAGACAGATATTGCAAAGCATGTAGCCAAATGCTTGACATGTTAACAAGTAAAGGTAGAGCACCGTAACCCTGCAGGATTGTTGAAACCATTAGAAATTCCTGAATAGAATAACAATGGATTTTGTGCAGGGTCTACCAAGGACATCAAGTGGTCACGATGCTATATGGGTTACTATGGATCGTCTAACTAAGTACGAGCAGACTATACACTTGAGAAGCATGCAGACTTATATGTTAAATAAATAGTGCGATTGCACGGAGTACCTGTGATCATCACATCAGATCGGGACCCTAGATTCACTTTGAACTTTTGGAAGAGTCTCCAAGTGGCTTTAGGAATGAAACTTCAGTACAATACCACATTCTACCCACAAACGGATGGACAATCAAAACGGGTAATTCAAGTGTTAGAGGATATGTTACAGGCCTGTATGATTGATTTCAAGGGCAATTGGGATGAGAAGTTGTATATAGTGGAGTTTGCTTATAACAACAATTTTCAGAAAAGTATTAGCATGACCCCATTTGAGGTTCCATACGGAAGGGCTTGCAGGATGTCCGTCTGTTGGGATGAGGTAGGAGAACGGAAGTTGACAGGACCAGAATTGGTAGAAGTCATGACTGATGCAATGAAAGTGATACGCAATAGACTTAGAACTGCCTAGAGTCGGTAGAAAAGTTATGCTGACAGACGTTGAAGACCATTGGAATTCAAGATGGGTGATCATGTATTCCTAAAAGTGTCGCCAATGAGAGGAGTATCAAGGTTTGGAAAGAAGGAAAAGTTAAGTTCGAGATTTATAGGACCTTTAGAGATATTTGAAAGAATTGGAGAATTGGTATATCGATTGGCATTACCACCAAAACTATCCAACGTACATAATGTGTTTCATGTTTCTATGCTGAGAAAATATGAACCTGATTCTGCGCATGTTTTGGATTTTGAAGCTGTACAAGTCGACGACAGAGTAAGATACGTCGATGAACCAATGCAAATATTGGATCACAATGAGTGGATCCTCAAGAATAAAACTATCCCTCTTGTTAAGGTGCTATGGCGGTATCATGACCAAGAGGAGGCAATGTGGGAAGACGAAGAAAACATGAGATGGCAATATCCCCAATTGTTCGAAGGAATGGATGAGAATTGGAATTTCAAGGACTAAATTCTTTAAGGAGGGGAGAGTTATGCCATCCTAAACTTCCATTCGTCAAAGGAATATGAGGACCCTAAAAGGTTCGAGCGCTCATCGACGGAAATTGGGAATTTCGAACTTAGAAGTTCATGTGTCATTTTAACGCCACCATTATTACCTTTGAGATCATACACCGTGTTTCTTGGTTTCCTTTGCCACACGACCCGACTCTTTGCTGCATCACCCAAGCTTTCATTTTCCCTCCATTGCTCTCCTCCCTCTTATCGCCAGCTTCACCGCCCTCTTGCTTTTCATTTTTTTCTCTTTTCTTCTTCCCCTTCGCCACTTGGCAAAGGAGAAGCACCAAGTGGCGCCCGTCTTGGACCGTGTGGCTCCACCACCCCACACGGCCAATGGCCATACATGCAAGGGAAGGGGAAAAACCCCTTGACTCTCTTTCCCTCCCTCATATTTCCTTCCTTCCCTCCGGTTCTCACTTGCTCTCTCTCTTCGCCCGGAACTCCACCAGCCACTCGATCCATCTGCGGCAGCCGTCCACCGTACGACGCCGCCCAACCAGTCACCGCTCCCTCCATTGTCTCGTCTCCTCGCATCGACAGTAGCAGCCATCGTGAGCCCGGAAATCGTCGCGATGTGCTCTTCCTCTCTCTATGCCTCGGACTAGGAACCGCGCACCATGCCGCCACACTCGCCGTTGAGGCAAGTGTACTCTCTCACCCTATACTAACCATTATAGTGTTTGCATGTTGAGTTTGGGTCTCGGATTAGATAGTGTGGTGGCTAGATGTTGTGGGGGAAATTGTTGATTGTGTTCGGCTGAGGCGGGGTTGTGATGGAGAATCTAATGAAATTGTGTGTTCGCCAAGTTTGTTGGCGAGGTTGGAGATCTTTAAGAAGTCATGGCAAGAATGGAAATTCAATTGAGTGTGGTGGGGGAGCCGAGTGATCGGTTGGATGCTCCAGCTTGGTCAGTGAGGTGGGCCGAATGCCCTGGCGCGGACAGCGGTGTTGGCCGCGGAAGATCAGCGCGATCGAGAAGCCGATCGCTCGATTGGTGGAATAACTGGGCATTCGGCACGGTCTTGGGCCGAGGGTCTCGTGTTTTCGAAAAATATTGTAAGCTTTCAAGATCGTATAAGGTAATTTGGGAATCGTAGATTAGAAATTAAGCAAGAATAGATGTTATATAGTAAGAAGTCTATAGTTGTGTATTAGAAATGGTGAGAAGCTGTGGAATTGATAATTATGAATTGGTTGGAGTCCGAGGAGTGCACGGTAAGTTGTAAGTTCATTGTTAACTATGCATGTGATAAATGAAAAGATCGCTTGTGCGTGTGAATGTGTGACTAAGAGATGAATTGATGCCATCAATTTACATACGACGATGCCTTGAGGAGTCGTAAGGAATGTGGGATGCCGTGGTCAGTCGACTACGATGCTTAGGAGGAGCTATGCCCTAGATGCCCTGGGAGTATGATCGGGATGCCGTGATTAGTGGACTACGAAGCCCACGCGAGCCGATGAGAATACTGGCGTATATTGCGGTAGACCGGAGGGCGCATTGAATACTGCTAGATGGGATGTTCCTCCTTGCGTGGCCGAGGAGCGCATCGGACATGTGCCTTGGAGTGGAGATTAAAGTTTGATTAATGACGTAAAATGCATGCGTCGTATGCTCGTGTTATCGCTTGTTTCATTGATTTGTGATCTTAATGCCCGATGATTGGTAGCGGAGAAAGAAAAGGGAGTCTATGCATGCTATGGCTGGCTTATTGATTGGTTTAGTTGTCTATCTGATTGATCCTGTTGATATGCTTGACATTATCTATTTAGTATAGAGTGATAGAGTTTATTTTACTGAGCTTTCGCTCACCGTTTATTGTTGATAACTTTTTACAGATATATAGCCATGCCGATGCTTCCCACATCGACCTTCATTAGTTATGGAGCATCCGCCGATTTCGAGAGTCATCTGCCTGAGTTCATGGATCCTGATTTCCCAGGGATAGTCTTTTTTTAAGTGTATCTCTATTCTGACCGTAGATATTGGGTTCCCATTAAGACCCATACTTTTGGAGTTTGTAGCCATCTATGTTCATGCTGGTGGACGGCCGGTGGGACCTCTCCCACACCCGGGGCAGGATGAAGCGGTTGGCGATGCTAGTAGTTGGGTTGTGTGAGGCCAGTATCGAGGAGTGGGAAGGACCATTTTTGGAAAGACACGACTGACACTTTTTGGGATAGAATTGTGTGTTTGGGTAATAGCTTTTGATTTTGATGTGGTTGGTGGGTCCATGTGGATAGTTCGGGTTGGAGTAGCTCCTGTAGATAGTCTCCCCGAGTGCAACTCACCCCCTTGTATCACCCTTGTTATTAATTAAGATGAATGGTAAATTTCATCACTTGTACGTCCTTGCATTTCTATGTTTTCTATATCATATTCATGTTATAAATGTTGACCTTAGAAAGAAGCATCTTCTGCCTGCGAAAAATTTGATGACTATTGAGAACTAGAGGATTCCTCTTGAAAGGGGCAGGTTCGGGATGTCACAAATAAACTCAGCAGATGAATACACAACCTTGCCAACCAAAGAGGTAACAATGAAAAATAAGGAACCTCCATAGCGTTCTTGGTCTATTGAGTACCGAACAAACTTGTCGTTCACCAAAGAAATACAAAATACTAGTTTTACTGATATTACAGTCCAAATAAATGCAATTAAAATGAGAAGTCATGTCATTCTCGAAAGAGATTCTTAATTTTTGCCTGTGAGAATATAAAAACAAAAGAAAGCAAATTGGGGAACGGAGGAAGAAAATTAAGGATTTTAGGGTTTTCAATCCGAATAGGAATCGGGAACTGAACCGAAAACCAGACCTCCCTTCCTAGAATCTGGAATCGGTTTGGTTCTCCAGTTCCCGGTTTTAATGTTTGAAAGAGATTCTTAAATTTTCGCCTATAAGATTATAAAAAAAAAAAAATAAAGAAAGCAAATTGGGGAACGGAGGAAGAAAATTAGGGATTTAGGGTTTTTGAATCGGGAACCGAAGTGGGAACCGGAACCTTCCTTCCTAGAATCTGGAATTGATTCGGTCTTCCGGTTCCGATTTCCGATTTTATTATGAAACTATGCTCATCATGATAATCAGCCTATAATTTCGGATTATCAAGAAGGAAAAGGCCAAAAACAGAGAGTGGAAAAACAAAAGAAGGAAAAAGGAGGCAGGGAAAGTGTCACTTCTCTTTGTTTCTCTTTTTCTCCGGGAAATCCGACACGCCATGTCGCAATAATTCAAAGACACGTTCGCTCCACGCTCCCCCCCACCGTCAGATCAGTCCTCCGCCCGCCCCCCATCGGACCGCCACCACCTCCTCCTCCTCACTGCGGCGGCGCGTACTCACCCGCCGCCTCGCGAGCTCCCCCACCCTCCCCCGGTCGCCGGAAGTCCGATCGTTCGACGACCCGCCCCTCGATCTCCCGCTCCGTCGGTGGCCGATGGAGTCGCACGACGGCGAGTGGTCGCTCAAGGAGCTGCAGAAGCTGGAGGGCCACGCCGATAGGGTGTGGAGCGTAGCGTGGAACCCGGCCACCGGCGCGGCCGGCGTCCCCGCGATGCTCGCCTCCTGCAGCGGCGACAAGACGGTCCGCGTCTGGGAGCAGAACCCCTCGTCTTCCTCGTGGTCCTGCAAGGTCGGTTTTTGTTGTCGCGCTTTCCTGTGGTTACGATTTATTGGAAGCTAGTTGATTGATTGTCGAGTGATGAACCTCGGAATGGTCGAACTGCGGCCGAGCTTGAGGGAATGTTCGTCATTATCATGTGCGAGTTCCTTTGTAATCGGGCTGCGGGATTGTAAGATATGAAGTTGAGTGCTTGTTCCCTGGTAGAGTAGTTTGCAAAACATGAAAGGGTTTGATTTCCAAATTTCGTGGATTGTAGTAGTGCGCTTTGTACAGTAATCTTGAGTTGGAACTTGCAGGCGGTTTTGGATGAGACGCACACTAGGACTGTTAGGTCTTGTGCTTGGTCGCCTTCGGGGAAGTTATTAGCCACTGGGAGCTTCGACGCCACCACTGCGATTTGGGAAAATGTTGGGGGTGATTTCGAATGTGTTTCTACATTAGAGGTATAACTATGGTTTTGCACTTCGATTGTTAAAATTATGCACCATTGGACTTGCTAAGCTTTTGTTGCGTGACGATCTTGTATGCCATATGTACCCTTCTCTTTTCCCCTCCCACTCGGCATTTGCTGGTTCTTGAAACGTAGATTCCTTCCGTATATGATTTGCTGGTTAATTCATGGTTCTAATAAATTTGAAGTAGACTTTTTACTTGTCTATGTGCTATAGGGTCATGAAAATGAAGTCAAAAGCGTGTGTTGGAATGCGTCAGGGTCCTTACTTGCGACATGTGGCCGAGATAGATCTGTTTGGATTTGGGAAGTGTTGCCAGGGAATGAGTTTGAGTGTGCCTCAGTGTTGCAAGGACACACACAAGATGTGAAGATGGTCCAGTGGCACCCAACCATGGATATACTCTTTTCTTGTAGCTATGACAACACTATTAAGGTACTTCTTTGCTTTAAAATTCTGTTGTCTTTGCTAATGCTGCTGCTGAAGAAAGTCGAGAACGAATTTTCCCACTGGCTTCGCTGCCGTTGGTTATCCCGGATATGAGTTTGGTCTGGAGATTAAAGACTTGGTGCGTGCAATTTTTCTTGCAGATTTGGGCAGAGGATGGTGATGATGACTGGCATTGTGTTCAAACCATAAGTGAAGCTAATGGGTACCTCACTTCTATAATCATCTTTTGTTTCTGTTCTTTGTTCGTCCTTTGTGAAAGTTGGCTCCTTCCATGTGTGACCAGTGTAGTCCTTTCTATATGCATGTGATGGCACTTTCGACAGTACCTGTATTACATAGCATGTTGAAACAATACGTCTTTCTGTTTTGTGATAATTTTTGGTTTACATGATTGCTTCTCCTGTTAGTGGTCATACATCTACCGTTTGGGCTCTTTCCTTTAACACTGCTGGAGACAAAATGGTTACGTGTAGGTATGCTAGAGTTCCGTTTTCAGTATCTCTGTATTAAACTAATTAGAAAGAGACTGCTGCTAACAATTTGAGTATGTTGCAGTGATGATCTCACGATAAAGATATGGGAGACAGACAGCAGAAAGATGATGTCTGGTGATGGCTATGCACCTTGGTGAGGAAGAGACCAACTATAAGCATTTAATTTTTGCGATTGTGAAGAGTTGCAGCTAGTATGGGAGATTATGATAAGAAAGTTTGATAATTTTTTTAAGGATTTTGAATCTTATTTTCCTATGCCATGTTTCAATTCTTGCTCCTGTCAATCAGTCAGTTAAAATATATCCTGCAATGCTTGGTTATGAAGTTTAATGAGTCTTCTATTCATGCAGTGTCTCTCCATCTAATAACTTAAGCTTTTGAGTTAGATATTCTAATATGATATTTGAGCCAAGTTTCACCCAAAGTTTATTTCGCATCTGCGTCTCTCCGTTCATCAATTCCACGTACTGTTCTTAGTCCGATTTGTACGTGAGAGAGGGTTTTGAAGTATATTAACATTGCTTATCTATTGATTTCAATGGGTCTTATATTCATGTAGTCTTCTTCCACCTAATAACTTAAGTTTTGAGTTGGATATTCTGATACCCTCTTCTAGTTGCTTAGCATTAAAGGCATAAAGCTGTGTTTGTTTGGCTGAGTATAAGCCCGAATAAAATAATTTTTATCCCAACAGACTTTTGGCGAGGCCTTTGGAGTTGAGATAGGATATAGCCCTGACGAGAAGTACCATCGGAATGTGATAACTGTGGATACTACTTGTTATATCCAGAGAAAAAAAAATTAAAAATAGTATTATAAGAAGCCCTATGCTATGTCAACACAGAGAGAGGTGAGGGCCGGGGTGGAGAGTGGTGACAAAACCATGGTTATCGCGGTTAATTACCATGATGGCAGTGATGGAAGCCTCTCTCACTCCATCAAAGGTTGATCTCGGTGCGATCTCTCTGTTCCTCTATGTCTATGTTGCTGAGGTCATTGTTCTCTTTCTGTCCTCCATCCTAATTGGTAAATCTTGCTTAAATGGAAAGGCAATGCAACAACCTTTTCGGGCCAGTGATATATCTAGCCCATGTAATGCGCTTCACATGGTTGAGATGACTGTTTGGTGATTATGCTATTTGTACGGACCGTGCGTGCAGTTTTTATGTTATGGTTATTGCGGTCTGGCTTTAGATTAAATTTTGAACCACAATACTATGAAATTGTATTGTAGAAAAGTAATACGTGTTGTTTGACTGTATGATCTTTCAAATGTACATATTGACTGATGGAAGATTTGCTTTAACACTAGTCCCATTCGTTTACTAGATGGTTTCTAGCTACTGCTAAATCTTCATTGCAATCATATAATTTGCTTTCTCTCTTTTCTCCAGGAGTCATCTCTGCACTCTCTCTGGTTACCATGATCGAACCATCTTTTCTGTTCATTGGTCCAGGTAGCGATATCGATACTTTGATGAATATATTTTTACTTAGTTTGAGATTATATCTGCATATTTTCTTCTTATCAGTTCCTCTTAGCCTTGTAAATGTTAAGTCAGAAAAATCTTGGTGATGCAAGTTAAGTGGTGATCTCTAACATATCTTTCAACTTCTGAAGAATTGGTTTGGGTATAAGCTGGATGATGTTGTAGTTATCGGTCCAAAGTATATTATTTCCCAACATCTCCCTAGTTGTTCCGTAGTGCATGTATCAGTTAATCATGGACAATGACTGTTGATTTTAGGAACTATCCCGCAAGATCTTCCCAAATGAATTGCTATGTAGCATGATAAGTTTGTTTGTTTTCCAAGTACCAGTATAACAGGCAAGGGCAAGAATTATTAGGAGCAAAGTCAAGAATACGAGGGGCTTCAACCTGACAAGTTAGGAATTGAGATAGAAAGAATTTTATGGGCACTTCTTGAAATAATTTGGATTTTGCTTTCTTGGTTAATGTGAAATGCGTTGACATGGATTGCCTCTTATGTTAAGAGTTGCTGATTTATAGTGTTATGATTCTTGAATGTTACAGGGAAGGAATTATCGCCACTGGGGCTGCAGATGATGCTATCCGATTTTTTGTTGAGAGTAAAGATGGTTCAGTAAGTATTATACCTCACCATATCTTCATGACTTAATCTTTTCTTTTAACAGTTCCTCCTATATTGTTCCCCTATTTATGGAGCTTCCGAAATGTTAATGTTTAGATGGCTTCTCTTAAGTGATTAACAGGTTTGGTCAATGTTAACCTTCTTTTATTAGATGAAAAATTTCTTAATAGAGAATTGTTCAAGTACATCAGGAATATACAAGAAGAGGTAAGAAACTGACAGGACCACACTATTTCCTAAAATTATTAGAACATGAAATCCATAAGTACTTCAAATAAGCAAAAAAGGAATCTGAGAAGATTTGGATTCTTCCGATAATTTTTTAGTTCTTTCCTTCCAATTGCACACGAGGCGAAGAGGAGCGGCACTCCAAGAGTCCGAGCCAATTTGGAAAGGAGAGAACAGGAAGAAAAGATCCAGCACTGAAACAATTACAGAACTGACTTTGACTAACCCTATATTCCGAGGAATCGAAACTGAAATGCCAAAAATGTTGAACAAAATCTTGATGAAAAAGCAGTGAATTCCCTGTATGCTTTACACATGCAACACCATTCAATCAAACTGGAATTTCGCTTGCTCTAATATTAACATATGTTCAAAGAGAAAAAGTATTAACATTTGAAAGTTAAAATATCCTGCTGTCATATCTTAATTTCCTCAACTAATGATCTTTGCAAGTAAAATTTTGAAGTGACCATCTATTTTTTGGACAATAAATGAAACTGTGGATGAGACATTGTTAGAAGCGTGTGCCATCTGCCCGTTCAGCATTCAGTTTGTTCTACAATTTAGGCATCTGAATCTGGTTCACAAAAGTCAACATGTTTGATTTCGATCTCTGGTCCCTGTCTTGGCTCAATGTGCAAGCATTACTGACATTGCCCCTTCAATGATCTTATGTTTTCCCTCGACCATTGTCTGAGAATGTCAGCTACTTGCACTAGAACATAGCCCTTGTTTAGTCGAACAACTTTTTTTAGGCATATGCCTCAATTTCTATAAATAAGCTTGGAAATTCCTATTTATAAATGGATATTAGACCAAACCGGCGAAATCTTGAGGCTCTGCCTAGCTGAGGGACATTTCAACATTCATTTTCGAAATTTGGAACTTTGCAAGAATGCTCCAGTCGCAGCGTTAAACACTCAATACTTTTGCACTGAGGGATCAGTTGGGAGGATTGACAAACCAAGGTCTTTCCTCTCTAAAATAATCTGAAATCTCTGTTAGATGCAAGTTCTTCTTTGGGTTTTTGTTGTAGACTGGTCAACAAGGCTGCTCACTTCATACTTTGCTGGGTTGTCCTATGAATCCTTAGACATTTTCCATGACCATGTAGTTTTGGCAATCAAATGCAGAACTAATCGTCTTCACTTTGTGGTTACATTTATCTAGAGTCTTTTTTGTTACCTGACTACGAAGTTGATGGATATTGCATTAAATCCAACTCGTGAAATATTCAATAAGCAAACTTTGTGATTATGCAGTAGGGCCTTTACTTGATCTACTGAATCTTTTGGATTGACGACTATGCGTCCTTTTGCCTTTTGAACTCAAAAACACAGATTACCTCATCAACCTTCTCACATCTATCTCAGGTTGATGGACCTTCACACAAAATGATTCTAAGAAATGAAAAGGCCCATGATATGGATGTGAACTCAGTAAGGTGGAGCCCCGGTGTAAGTCTCTCTCTCTCTGAGTTCCGTATAGGCATATGCATTCAATAGAGACGTCTATTTTTGCTTGATTGTAAAGTCAGATTGCGGTTGAATGTAATCATCTTATCGTATTAGGAATGCGAGTTGACCTGAATGTGGACTCATATTAAAGATTTAACTGACTACAATATTTTTAGTGTATTACAAGGTGCTTGCTGGAAATTTGGTCTTTCCTTGCTGTAATTTTTAGATCTTGCTCATGCCTATGGTGGAAGTATTCATGATGACCATTAACCGCTGTATGGAGATTATTCTTTGCTTTATTCTGCAGGAATACCAAGAAAAAGAAAAATCTCAAACTCAAAATTGTCTTTTAGTAATTAAATATACTGAGACGAAGAGAGTACACTAGGCAGCTTCTTGCTTGGTGTTCTTTGTATTATCTTCCCCCTTCATTACCTAAAATGATGAGAATGAAAAAAGATTAGACTGTCGAAACAGGTTTAGAAGATAATGTAAGAAACACTGCATTGGGGAAATCTCTCGTCAATTTATCTCTAACTACTTATTGGTTTTCCCGTGCAAATTTGTCTTTTGTTCTCAGTTTCTTGGTTGGCCTGGGCTTCCTTCTTCTTCTTCTTCTTCTTCTCCTCTCTCTCTCTCTCTCTGGTTCTGTGTGTTTTGGAGGTTGGGAAAAAAGGGGGGGGTTTCTGTTGGGGGTGGGCTATTGTGGGTTTGTTGATTCTGTTAGCTACAATGCTTGATTGCTTCTGTTTGATTTTTCATATTAATATTGCCGCAATATTATGCACTTACAACTGTTATTTCCAGGAAAACCGCTTTCTTGCATCTGCAAGTGACGACGGGATGGTAAAAATATGGGAGCTTGTGCCTGTGATTGGATAGCTATGTATCACACTGTCGGTGAATTTCCATAGGTATCATGTCATAGTTATGTAAAAAGCTCTCCAAAATGTTCAAACCTTAGAAGAAATATATAGAGTTTCATTTCAAATGTCTCGCCTTGGGATAAGAGAATGCCGTTGATCAGATTTTACCCAAGTTTGGCCAGGGAGAAAAACAGAGATGAGAATGAAGATGAGGAAAATTTGTGCTTGTAGCCCAGCTGAAGGGATGTCTTTGGGTGCACGGTTTCGGGGAGAATTTTTCCCCCTGTTCTGCCATTTGCTGGGTTCTCTTCTAGTTTGGCTGTGTAAACCATACATATATTCTGCAGTCAACAGACTAATCAAAATTTTGTGGGAGACATTCCTTTTTCTTTGTTTTGTTTATTATCTTTCGCTATTGCATATTCGAAGCGGAGACTATAACGATCCATGATCATGTTGGTAGTAGATAAACAGGTCATTTTGCTTTGAGGACATACAGGAGCAACATATGCAACAGACCAGTGCTTGTTTCTCTCTTTCCTGCTATAGTTACTTTGTGGCCCAAAAAAGGATTGATATTTGCTGCCCCCTCCATACACTAGAAGCAGAGGTTCACGCTTTGTCAATTGCACATTGACAATGGCGGAGCCAAGGATTCAGAAGTAGATTATGCTTGTATTCTTGTGCTGATCTCGATCTCTCGATACAACAATTCTACTGGTCCTGAATAACGGTTTCTACGCCAGTCGCTTCATCCGGAAAAGTCACCATCTCGCTCTTTACGAGCTCTCCTCTGGCGTTTGGCGAATCATCGATCCAAATGTCGTTATATTGTGCAATGTCCTCAAAACTCCCATTGCATTCCCACCAAACCGGACATGGATAGGAGCCAAAACCATCACTACTTTTCTTGCATTTCACGGAACGTGTCCCTGAATAAAACAGCACGTTGGAACTCTTATCTGCTAGGCTTGTATAGTACCCTCTACAAAGCAAACAAAAGAAGGAAGAAAAGCAATTCCCAAAAATCACTTGAACATTATGCATCTTCCTGGTTCGACAATACACGACACATTGCCAAGGTCAATCGGAAAGTAATTATGATTACACTTGCACTTCTCTTCTCAGCTCCAAATCTGAAAGACAGCAAAAGCCCAAAGAAGAAAAACAGTGGAAAAATCTTAGCACCTGTTCTCTATTCTCAGTCCACCGGAGTTAGCTCTTCTTCCCTCTTCAACCAAAGCCGCCTTGGCCGACGTGATTTTCGCGGGCATGAACGAGGCCTCGAACGCGGAGCAATCCACCCAATCCTTCAGCAGCTCCTCCTGACCCCATATCTCGGGAATCCAAGCCCGACCCACGACTTCGACCCGATGTCTCTTCAGCCTCTCCCGCCCATTCATTCCTTTATCTTCTTCCTTACCTTCTTCATTTGAACCGTCCAGGCACAAGGAGTAGTCGGCCAATGCTTGGAGTCGCACGCTTACTTCTTCATCGTTCTTGGTCTCCTCATGAGTTGCTGGTGATGAACTCCGCCCGTCATTTACGTCAAAGTTACCCTCGGGGTCATCCCCATGAATAGACTGGTGGGTTTCTGCAGGAGAGGAGGGCATTGATGCATCGGACTGAGCCGAACCGGAACCTTCTTGGGCACTCATTTCACTGTCTTCTTTCCTCATGTGGGAAGTGGACGAATTGAATGAACGGCCAGTGTTTGCTCTTCTTGATTCTTGTGAGGTCTTGGCTCTGCTCCAGTTCTTGATCCGACCCCTGCTGCAGATCTCCTTCGTGCTTGAGAAGATTGGCAAGAGCTTGAGAGAGTGTGTGGGAATAAGAGGGAAGAGAAATGGGTGGGACGGTAGTCGACACGTCGTCCAGCAGCCCCCCCCTTTTTTTAATGGTATGTGACAAGTGTACGTGTCTTTTTCCTGACTGAATTCCATTTTGTGTGGCTTTCTTTCAAGTCCCTTGATGCACCAGAGAGAGAGGGTCAGGGTCACCTGGGTCGACCTGCTCCGTGGGAAGGTATTAGAAAAACTCATTCTCCTGTCGACATATTCGAAATGTGTTCAATTAAAATGATAAACGTGTTTAATGATCATCAACTTATATCACTAATCGTATAGGCATATCACATAACAAACATACCTGATATTGCCACGGATTAAATGCCTTTTACACTTGAGAGTGATTTTCGATTGTCTTTTGTACTCATTTGCATTCCGAAGGAAAACCAGAAGAGGTGTGTTATTACGCATTCGTGAAAAATCACGTTGGTTTTCCAAGGAGGGTCTACTATTTATAGTAAGAGGCAAATAACCACATTGTGGGCTTTTGTGGTTCATGGACCAGGTTTGGCCCATCTTGAGTGGCCCACCCATTATGCCTTTCATTTCCCACTTGTCCATGATGGGCTAAGCACAACTCTCTTCTTTACAAAGTTCATATTGGCAAATAATTTGTGCGACCAGTATACTTCGAAAGCTCGTTGCTATACATCTGTTGGTAAAATATAACAGGTAAATTAAGCATTATCTAAAGTAGAATTAGTATGCAGTTCCCCATATCAATCAGTCATATTTGTATCTCTCTTGATCTCTTTTAGTATATCATATATTGTATTCACAACTATGATTTATTGAAAATCATAATTGGTCGACTTGTGAATACAAAAAAAAAATGTGACATTATAAAACAAATTGATCTTCCTCTTTCCTTAAACCTCTACATTTTAGTCCAGCTTGCTTTTCTAGAAATGCCCCGTTAGACTGAATTGTAATGATCATCAGCAACATCCTAAGATAGTAAACACTGAATAAAAATTTTGAGAATAAGTAAGAGTCGTGAGGGTACTTAATTGAGGAACTATTTTCCTCAAGAGTCTCACATGGCTTAAAAAGTTGAGATCATAACTTTTGCCAACACTTATCGGTCATCCCAGACATACGTAATATGAAATACGTATTACGGTATTCTGTCCTTTCCCATAGAGCGTATGTCTTTACTCTCAATACCGTATAGATGATAGTTCAGATATACTTAATGTCTAACTTGAGTTCACAAATCTACTATATTCATAAGCATTTATCATAACTCACATTTGGCATTAAAGACAGATAAAGTGAAATATGTTTCACTTTCGGATATAACAATCTATATGTCATCATCTTAACATTTTGTTAAAGCAACGTCTATGCTTCAAGCTTGAGCTTTCAATTATCACCTAGATAACAAGCTTAAAACGGTCTCATCTCTATTCATCACACAATGAGTAGAGGTGATTACCCATGTGAGTGAGCTAATATCTCATCTGTCCGATATACCTATTTAATATAATGCACTTAGCATCAACATTCATAAACGTTATATAAACTCATAGGCATTGATAATAACAAACTTCATTAATAGTGGACATCTAGGGAAAATTATAATATTCAGTGCATCATATTTTACATAGTCCTAAAAATCTCACATGACCATGGAAAACTTCTCTAGGAATCGGATTCGTCATAAGATCTGCTATCATCCTTTGCGTAGATATGTACTGCACATTCACTTCCTTTCGTGCAATCATGTCCTTGATATAGTTATATTTGATATCTATATGTTTGGTCTTTTCATAGTACATGGGATCCTTAGTATACACTATTGCGCTGCTTGGCTATCACAATAGACTAATACTAAGTTTGCAGCATTCTCAGCAACACCTAAGTGATCCAAAAATCTTCCAAGCCAAACAGCTTTTTGTGCCGCCACTGATAGAGCCACGAACTCAGCTTCCATTTTGGATAAGGCCACACACTGTTGCTTCTTACTGCTCCAACATATGGCGCCATTATTCAGTAAGAATACATATCCATAGGTAGATTTCCTTTCCTTTAAATCTCCTCCCCAGTCAACATCAATATAGCTTTCAAGGTGTAGATCACTTCCTTGATAAGTCAGTGCATAGTCAGCATTTCCCTTTAGATATCTTGGGATTCCTTTGATGGCAATCCAATGTGCTTGACCTGGATTAGATTGATATCTACTTATCATTCCAATTGCATAACAAATATTAGGTCTCGTACATATCATAGCGTACATTAAACTTCCGACAGCACTAGCATATGGAACTTGTTCCATTTGCTCCTTTTCTTGTGGAGTTTTAGGACACATTCTATCGTTCAATGCTTCGCTCTTTGCAATATGAGTGTCTATTGATTTACAATCTTGCATACGAAATCGCTAAAGGATTTTATTCATATACGTCTCTTGTGCAAGGGATAAATATTTCCTTGAACGATCTCTTGAAATCTTAATTCCAAGAATGTATGCAGCTTCACCCATATCTTTCATCTCAAAATTGAAAGATAACCAATTCTTCACTATATTAACAAACTCCATACTGCCTCTGGCAATTAGTATATCATCAACATATAATGATAATATCACAAATTGATAGTTGGATCTTTTGATATATACACAATTATCTTAACTAATAATTACAAAATCATATGCTATTATGGCATTGTGAAAACGTATGCATCATTGTCTCGAAGACTGCTTAAGGCCATATATCGATCTCAATAGTCGACACACCTTTTGGTTTTGGCCTTTTATAATGAAACCAACAGGTTGTTCCATATAAATTTCTTCCTATAATTCTCTATTGAGGAATGCAGTCTTTACATCCATTTAATGTAATTCAACATCCATACTATCTACTAAAGGATTTTATTCACATACGTCTGTTGTGAAAGGGATAAAGATTTCCTTGAACGATCTTTTGAAATCTTAATTCCAAGAATGTATGCAGTTTCACCCATATCTTTCATCTCAAAATTGGAAGATAACTAACTCTTCACTATATTATCAAACTCCATATTACTTCTGGCAATTAGTATATCATTAACATATAATGATAAGATCACAAATTGATATTTGGATCTTTTGATATATACACAATTATCTTTACTAATCATTACAAAATCATATGCTATTATAGCATTGTGAAAACGTATATATCATTGTCTCGAAGACTGCTTCAAGTCATATATCAATCTCAATAGTCGACACACCTTTTGCTCTTTGCCTTTTGTAATGAAGCCAATAGGTTGTTCCATATAAATTTCTTCCTATAATTCTCTATTGAGGAATGCAGTCTTTACATCCATTTGATGTAATTCAAGATCCATACTAGCTACTATTGCCAGAATAATAAGACGAATAGAGGTAAATCTAACCACAGGAGAAAAAGTTTATTCAAAATCAACTCCTTTCTATTGATTATATCATTTCGCCACAAGACGAGCCTTATACCTCTTTACTGAGCCATTAGCCTTACGCTTTATTTTGAGAACCCACTTGTTTCCAATGGCTTTGTGTCTCTTTAGAAGGTCAACTAATTCCCAAACTTGGTTTGATCTTAATGACTACATTTCTTCTTCCATTGCATGCATCCATTTTTCCTTATTATGACATATTATAACCTTATTCACATTCTTCGGCTCATCTTCATCCTGTGGGGCGATCATGAAAGCTTCTCCATCGATGTCAAAACATCAATGAGGAATCCTATTACGACTTGACAATCGTATGGGAGGCTATATTCCTGATGATTCACCACGCTCCATTGCGCTTCCACTCGGATTAAATAATAGTGATGTCGTCTCATTAAGTGGTTGCAATTGAGACTGGTTTGCACTGAACTCCCCACTTGTCACAATGCTCCCACTGACTTCACTATCACGATCCACAAATTCATATAATAAGCAATTTCTACCTAATTTGCCATTTTTAGGAAATTCATTCTCTAAGAATGTAGTATTCCGTGATTCGAATTTAGTTATACTTCCGCTTTCTTGCTCACCTATGAGCACATACTCTTTTGAGTGCTCTGAGTATCTTATGAAAATACTCTTTTTGCCTCTTGGGCCTAATTTTTCATACTTGTGAGAGGACTCACGAGTATAGACAGTATAACCCAAAGGTTTTAAAAAGCTTAAATCGGGTTTTCTGTCTGTCCATAACTCATATGGAGTAGAAGTAACTGATTTAGAAGGCACACAATTAAGTATATAGGCAGCGGTTAACAAAACATCACCCCAAAAGGTGATAGGTAACTTAGTTTGTGCTATCATTGACTTAACCATTTTCATTAAGGTTCTGTTTCTCCTTTCTGCAACACCATTTTGTTAAGGAGTATGTAGAATAGTCAGTTGCCTTTCTATTCGCTTTTTATCAAATAAATTCTGAACTGATCAGACAGTTATTCTCGACCTCGATCATATCTTAATACTTTTACTTTTATTTTTCTGTCTAATTGATTTTCCACTAAGCTCATAGATCTTTTACAGCAACTTAATGCCTCGGACTTATGAGAAATCAAATCAACATGTTCGAATCGAGTATGATCATCAATAAATGTGATTAAATAAATAGCCCCATGCTTTGCTCTTACATTCATTGGACCACAAATGTCTGTATGGATTAATTGCAAATGAAACTCAGCTCTTGTTTCTTTTCCAAATGGTTTGTTTTTCCTTTTAGGTAATGCTTGCATATGGGCAAATCAACCTTTTTAATATTGCCCAATGAGCCATCTTTGGCCAAATCTATTCATTCTTTGTTGGCCAATATGACAAAGTCTAGCATGCCACACATTCACATCATTCTCATAAGAATCAGAGGTTGTAAATAAGGAATAACTAACTTTAACTTCACAATAGTTAACATCTAATACAGTGAAACCATTCAAAAAATATCCACAATCATAATAACTTGTACCTAAAGACAAGTCTACACCAATGTTATGGAAGTTTACGTTAAAACCAAGTCTTATTAAAATCAACACTAAAACTAAGTTCCGACGAATTTCTAGAGCAAATAACATAT